ACTACCATATACAATATCTGAATAACTAACTTTTTATAGCTACATAAGACATGGAATCTGAATAACTATCTTACCTATATAAATGCAGATTGGAATCTGAATAACTACCATACATATATACATACAGCTTGGAATCTGAATAACTATCATATATATATATATATATATATATATATATATATATATATATATATATATATATATATATATATATATATATATATATAGCTTAGCCTGGAATCTGAATAACTAACTTTCATATATACATACAGACTGGAAGCTGAATAACCAAATTACAAATATACACACAGCTTGGTTTCTGAATAACTACCTCACATATATATATATATATATATATATATATATATAAATATATATATATATATATATATATATATATATATATATATATATATATATATATATATATATATATATATATATATATATATATATATATATATATATATACACATACATATATATATATATACAAATACATATATATATATATATACATATATATATATATATATATATATATATATAAATATATATATATATATATATATATATATATATATATATATATATATATATATATATATATATATATATATATATATATATATATATATATAAGAATGGAATCTAAATAACTAACTTACGTACATAGACACAGCTTGGAATCTGAATAAATAACCTACGTACATAGACACAGATTGGAATCTGAATAACTAACTTATATATATATATATATATATATATATATATATATATATATATATATATATATATATATATATATATATATATATATATATATATATATATATATATATATATATATATATATATATATACATATAGCTTGGAATCTGAATAACTACCTTACATATATACACACTGCTTGGAATCTGAATAACTAACTTACATACATATACACATATTGGAATCTGAAAAACTACCTTACATATATGCATAGAGAATGTAATCTGAATAACTAACTTACATACATACATGCATCTTGGAATCTGAACAACTACCTTACATATATACATACAGCTTGGAATCTAAGTAACTAACTTACATATATACAAACAGCTTGGATTATGAATAACTACCTTACATATGTACATTCAGACTGGAATCTGAATAACTATCTTATATACATACACACAGCTTGGAGTCTGAATAACTAACCTACATATATACACACAGATTGGAATATGAATAAATACCTTACATGTATACACACAGCTTGGAATCTGAATAACTACCTTTCATATATACATACAGACTGGAATCTGAATAATTATCTTACATACATAGACACAGCTTGGAATCTGAACAACTAACCTACATACACACAGATTGGAATCTGAATAACTACCTTACATATATACACACAGCTGGAATCTGAATAACTACCTTGCATATATACGTACAGACTGGAATCTGAATAACTATCTTACATACATACTCACAGCTTGGAATATGAATAACTAACTTACATATATACACACAGCTTGGAATCTGAATAACTAACCTACATACACACAGATTGGAATCTGAATAACTACCTTACATATATACACACAGCTTGGAATCTGAATAACTACCTTGCATATATACATACAGACTGGAATCTGAATAACTATCTTACATACATAGACACAGCTTGGAATCTGAATAACTAACCTACATACACACAGATTGGAATCTGAATAACTACCTTACATATATACACACAACTTGGAATCTGAATAACTACCTTGCATATATACATACAGACTGGAATCTGAATAACTATCTTACATACATACTCACAGCTTGGAATATGAATAACTAACTTACATATATACACACAGCTTGGAATCTGAATAAATACCTTACATATATACACACAGCTTGGAATCTGAATAACTACCTTGCATATATACATACATACTGGAATCTGAATAATTATCTTACATACATAGACACAGCTTGGAATCTGAACAACTAACCTACATACACACAGATTGGAATCTGAATAACTACCTTACATATATACACACAGCTTGGAATCTGAATAACTACCTTGCATATATACGTACAGACTGGAATCTGAATAACTATCTTACATACATACTCACAGCTTGGAATATGAATAACTAACTTACATATATACACACAGCTTGGAATCTGAATAACTACCTTACATATATACACACAGCTTGGAATCTGAAAAACTAACTTACATATATACATACAGACTGGAATCTGAATAACTAACTTACATACATATACACATAGCTTGTAATCTGAATAACTACCTTACATATATACACACAGCTTGGAATCTGAATAACTACCTTTTATATCTACATAAGGATTCGAATCTGAATTACTACTGTATATAGATGCATACAGTTTAAAATCTGAATAACTTCTACTGTACATAGCTACATACGTAATATAATTTGAATAAGTATAGTATATAGTTGCTATAACGGGTTTTGATGTGTAGTGTCCTGTTAATTTGATTTGGCGATTTTACTTAAGGAATGATCTCCCTCAATATTCTTGTCCAGTGTGAGTAGATAGATAGAATACTTACATATAACTAAGCGTGACTATAGAGAAGTAAAAAAAAATCAAAACAAATACGAGCTTAGTAATATCTAAAAAAAATAGATTTTTAATTAATTATTACATAAACTACAACAAAATTGCAATTTCAATCCAACAGATTTACATTAATGAAATTTAATATCAGTGTTTAATTTACGGATTCGTTCATTGTAATAAAGAGTTGTGAAAAAGTACAATGTTTACGCCTTCTTGCATCACATGACGTCGTTTCTTTAGGATTGGTCTTCCTCTGATCCTTCCTATTCTGAACTCTATAGTTGCGGACGTTCCTCTTGGACTGTCCTCATCGGGTTCTCGGGAATAGATACAGAATGATGTTCCCCCAATATATACCACATAGCTACATACAACGTGGAATCTGAATATCTACCACATAGCTACTTACAACTTGGAATCTGAATATCTACCACATAGCTACATACAACTTGGAATCTAAATATCTACCACACAGCTACTTACAACTTGGAATCTAATATCTACCACATACAGCTTGTGGCAACATTTGAGAGAGCAAGTTGACAGATCGTATGTTCTAGCTCATCTGTAAAATCTGTTTATGATATTGTAATGAATGTTGTCAGACAAAATTAGCAACAATTGTATACACTATTTAAAGAAATCGGACAAATATGTCACTTTCCTGTCAGACATTTGAAACATTTTTCAAACATTCTTCATCATAAAACTTTACTGAAAACTGGCACGGCATTAGAAACCTAAAACAAAAGATTTCTTCAAATTAAATATTTACTTACGCTGAAGGTAAACAATAAACCTTTCACTTTTAGAGAATTTCAAGACTCGTCTGAATCAGCCCGTCTGAAGCGGCCCATGTGAGTCAGTACGTCTGAGTCAGCCCATGTGAGTCAGTACGTCTGAGTTAGCCCATGATATTCAGCAAGATAAGATGAATCCATCATCTACCTTTTTGATCATTTACAACGCTCAATCCATTGCTAAACATTTTCAATATAATTAGGAGAATTCACAACACTGAGACTTCATGTCACGAAGCAACAGTAGTGCCATAACCTGGAAAGGAATATATCGACAATTCCAACTGTTGACTAATGGCACAAACAGGCTGCAACTCTAAAAACCATGGAACAAAGGATAAATGACAAAATGTTCCAGTAGTCTGAATAGAACGATCTATTAACAGACGTTCAGGGTGGATTCAGTTCTTACTATTTAAGTAGTCTTATCAATATTAGAGATACATCTTACTAAATTTTATAAATCCCATTATTTATTTTATACGTGTACTCGGGTTTCGTGTGTGTCTGTGTGTGTGTGTGTGTTTACAACACGATACCCGAGGTTGATTTAAGTATATTTTACAATATTTCGAAATAGTGAGTTCGATTCATCCCTCTCGCACGTGCGAAGTGCTTTACTTGGGAAAAACCGATTTACATCTAGCGCACAGACGGTGTACGGCTGCATCGTCTGTGTATAAGTAACGATATCTTTACGTTACGGAATATCTTGTCAGTAAGCAGTAAACTTAATGACTTGCATATCTGTCAGCTGTAGAGCTTATCGGAGTCGACGTGGTACCAGCTAAAGAGCTAACCATATAAGTCTACCATAGCAGCTGTAAATCTGAACCATAGCAGCCGTAGAGCTGAGTGAACAGTGTTGCTGGTCGAATAGTAGGTGATTAGGCATTGCTGGCCGATTGGTGGGTTCTGATTGCTTGATTGACCAATGAATTAAATGGTAACCTGAAATACTGACTGCTTGATTGGCCAATGTAACTGGTAGCCATGTGCAATATTGACGGAGTGTTCTGTGTTACTCCATGCATGTAATCTTTTAGCTCTGGGCTAATTTTGAGGTTTTTCAAGTTTTGGGAGTGAGGTGATTGGATGGGATGTGATGTGATTATGATTTTTAATGTAGTTTTAACAATTTTTCAGTCATATCGCTACGATATATGCAGTGTGGCAGTTTGTGCTGATGTCTATCACTGAGGCATCATAACGCAGACATGTAGCATGATGTCCCACACAGTCACATTATCCTGACACTAACCTCTTAATGCTGAGCGTCAAGCGAGGCAGCTGTTAGTACCATTTTTGTAATTGTTGTTGTTGTTGTTGTTGTTGTTGTAGGGCTTAGCGCCATTTTTCAGCACACGATAGGCTATTCATGGCGGTCAGTATTAATGGTGGAGGAAGAAACCTGGAAATCACCGGAAAAAACCACCGATCCACGAGAAGCTACTGGCAAGCTTTCTCACATATCCACATTCGCCGAATCCTAGACTCGATCTCACGCAGACAGAAGTGAGATAGCAGTAATCCGTAACGGACAGGGCTTTAGACCACTCGGCCACCCATTTTTGTAAGTCTTTGGTATGACTCGACCGGAGATCGAACCCCAGACCTTCCGCATCCGAGGCGGACACTCTAACCACTATGCCATCGGAGCGGTTGTTTTGTGAGTGTAAAGATAATTTGTTTGATATCTGTCCAATCAATTCATCATTTTACTATTTAGTAAAATACCTCCGTTTTGAGTAAAATAAAAATTTTCATAGCGTGAAATTACAGTAAATTGTTCACCTTTGTCCTTGTATTGTGTAAGATAATTTATTTGTATTTATATTTTTTGCATTATTAGATTCGTGCTGATTATGTTAATTTGTCCAATATTTGAATCTTATACACGCGCGTATTAATCAACATTCTTTTTTCATTCAAGTCATACATCCATACACATTGTTTTCATTTAACCATCAACAGTGTTCTTTTATAAATCCGAAAACTAACCCGGTTATCTTGTTAAATCAGGTGTGACTTGGACAAAGCCTAACTTACGATACAATGAATGAACTGTCGAAAAGATGTCGTCGTAACAGATGCCAACAGCTACATAGGTTTTTTTTATAAGAAAGACGTATCATGGTTGAAGTAAGCACTACTCTTTCTGAGTTCTATCCTCAGGAAATGGATGTGCACAGCATTTTGTCCGTAATTCATTTCAACATCAAAACTAAAGTCGTAAGAAAGTGCAAGACCTTACCGCTAATCATACGTCTACAACTTTCAATCTAATTTAGCCAAATATATATTTACTATTGAACGCCGTTAAATATACTCAAATATATATCCAAAACGGTGTCAAGAAATGCGATTCAAATTATGGAAATCTGAAACGGTTTGGATTCACTTATGCTAACTACATGAATTGAATGATGATTCAAGATTCTATATTGATGGTTCATTGATCTACATCTAGAGAACTTATCCTTCTCCTTAAAGGAACTTTCTCTGCCTAATAGAAAAGAGTTAAAAAATCATGGAATTAATGCAAATAACTTAGGGTAACCTCAAGTAACATTTCGTTTAGACTGGGTAAGTTGTAATTCTTTGGCTCTCTGCAGTTTCTGAATTTCAGCCTGAATAAGCTAGTCAGTAACCTTGTGGAAGGATCCAACGATCGATTTAAAGTCGCTAGGTGTACATAAACAACTGCGAGAAGTTTGTCCAAACTCACCTGCCACAAATCAGGGCATTTCTTTCTTCGTTGTCTCCCGGTGGTATTTACGCCAACGATTATGAACATGCAAAGAAGGTGTGTGTCTGTGTGTGTGTGTGTGTGTGTGTATGCGCGCGCGCGCACAATATCACTTTTTATACCTGCGAACTGAAGTGCTTGTACTCTGAGACTTAGTTGAAGTTTTCAGAGACATAGCCATGAAGGTTTTTAATCCAGACCCTGCACATTACTTGTCATCTCTGGGAACAGCCTTGGATACACATCTAAGGCAAAAGAGATATGGAGCTTGTCACAGACATAGATAAACATTATTGATTGGCCATAGAATCCGCCATGCTATCTCCATGAGTCGCCGTAACGCTCGAGTGAGTAATCTGCTAGAGGATGGATAAATCCCGTTTCTCCCAAACGTTACATCACATATCTTGATATTGATAAGACCATTATGTTGGCGGGTTTAAATGCTTCAGACCAGCGAATGTAAACATACACAAGTATGACATCAACAGCGACATCAAGTACTTTTACGATGTCGATCTAGAGAACTCGGATGAGTTTCACAATGTTTAGAACGATTAGTTACTAGCTCTGGAAGCGCTGTTCTTACCATAAGATATGTTGCCCCAGTATCGTTACTATATATGACGCTGAATGCAGTTTTATATAATGGATCCAGCTGATTTCGAAAACTCAGCCTAAATCAGATATGTTGTTCATATGCAAAACCTTAAGCTACTGGAGATGAGTATATACAATGTCCTCGGGACGACTTTGAGAAAGACATTTTCTCACTTATGAACAGATTATGGAACCAGACAAGTTTCTATGACTTATTCATTACCATACACAGTAACAGGCTTATTACTGACCCAGCATTCGATCTTTAAGGTAAAATCCATTGCCACACAGAGTGAAAGGTTAGAACTGAAGCTGATAAAATATATATATATATATATATATATATATATATATATATATATATATATATATATATATATATATATATATATATATATATAAAGAATACAAATCATATGGCGAATAACAACCCTCTCAAGCGTACTGGATCCACCAAGGGATCACGTTTGTCAGGGATTAATTAAAATAGATGCAATAAACTGACGACGAACAGTACGAAACTAGTAACTAACTAGCCTAAGCGCTTTCGACTCCCAATGAGTCTTTTTCAAAGGCAAATACAAAACATAGTTACGACAAACAAATAAAGACAAAAACGTTGCGTTTGTAAACCTCTACATTTCTATCTTCACATGTGCTAAAACTATAAATACAACCAGCTTGTATAGACTAGTTGCGGAAACTGAAAACGTTGTATAATTCCCTAAAAGTCTACAAGCCAAAGCGACATCTATTTTTACTTTGTGTACATATGTAACGCAGATTATATCCCGGATATTTGGTTCTATACCGGTTATTCTTATAGTAAAAATTGAAGGATAAGAAGATTTAGAAAATGTTAAATTCTACTAGTGCATAGTTTTCATTTTCTAGTCTTCTTGGTTTAGACCGCTTGGTTTCAATGTTCTAAGGCGGCGTATCCAGTATGATTCCTTTTCCTTCCTGGTTTCGGAACTCCAGCTGTGGTTGTTGGCAATAGCGATAAGTATTATATCACTGAAAGTGTGGCCAGGGGAGGAGAAGTGTTCTGCGACCGGGCTTCTGTACAGCTTTTTTGTCATCCAATCAGATCTATGAAGGTTTATCCTTATGTGTAGCTTTTCAGTTTCTCCCACGTACTGAAGGCCACAGATCTTACATGTGATGAGATAAATCACATTCTCTGTTTTGCACGTTTTGTGTGGACCATGTATGTTTAGTTTTTCTTTAGTCACTGTGCTAGTGAATGTCTTGGTCTCTATCATATGTTGACAGGTTTTGCATCTTTTATCGCCACAGGGTCCAGATTGACTAGGTTGGTTTTGACTAGCGATTGTTGTTAGCTTGGCCCTGACTAGGATGTCCTTTAGGTTTTTTGGTCTCCGGTAAGCTACTACAGGTTTGTTCGGAAGTATTAGGTTTAGTATGTCTGACGATTGCACGGTTGGCCAGTGGTTTGCGATGATTTTACCTACTTTGGGATTGTCTGGGTGATAGGTCAGAATAAATGGTATCCTATCAACCTTTTCTTTCTGTCCATATCTGAGTAGGTCATCACGGTTTGTTTGTTTGGCCCTTTGGATTGCCTCCGCAAACAACTTCCATCCTTCAATAAAATTCACGGCAGAAATTTCCAACTCAAACCATGTTTTCCTGGACACAACAACCAGACTGGTGGAAAACAAATTACACACAGACATCTACTCGAAACCAACCGACAAACACCAGTATCTTCTCCCAACCAGCTGTCATCCAAAACACTGCATTAAGAACATTCCATATAGCCAGGCACTGAGGATACGCAGAATTTGCTCCGACGATGAAAGATTCATAGAAAGGTCTGAAGAGCTGGCTAAACATTTAATTTACCGAGGCTACGACAAAGGCCTGATTGCGGAGGCAATCCAAAGGGCCAAACAAACAAACCGTGATGACCTACTCAGATATGGACAGAAAGAAAAGGTTGATAGGATACCATTTATTCTGACCTATCACCCAGACAATCCCAAAGTAGGTAAAATCATCGCAAACCACTGGCCAACCGTGCAATCGTCAGACATACTAAACCTAATACTTCCGAACAAACCTGTAGTAGCTTACTGGAGACCAAAAAACCTAAAGGACATCCTAGTCAGGGCCAAGCTAACAACAATCGCTAGTCAAAACCAACCTAGTCAATCTGGACCCTGTGGCGATAAAAGATGCAAAACCTGTCAACATATGATAGAGACCAAGACATTCACTAGCACAGTGACTAAAGAAAAACTAAACATACATGGTCCACACAAAACGTGCAAAACAGAGAATGTGATTTATCTCATCACATGTAAGATCTGTGGCCTTCAGTACGTGGGAGAAACTGAAAAGCTACACAAAAGGATAAACCTTCATAGATCTGATTGGATGACAAAAAAGCTGTACAGAAGCCCGGTCGCAGAACACTTCTCCTCCCCTGGCCACACTTTCAGTGATATAATACTTATCGCTATTGCCAACAACCACAGCTGGAGTTCCGAAACCAGGAAGGAAAAGGAATCATACTGGATACGCCGCCTTAGAACATTGAAACCAAGCGGTCTAAACCAAGAAGACTAGAAAATGAAAACTATGCACTAGTAGAATTTAACATTTTCTAAATCTTCTTATCCTTCAATTTTTACTATAAGAATAACCGGTATAGAACAAAATATCCGGGATATAATCTGCGTTACATATGTACACAAAGTAAAAATAGATGTCGCTTTGGCTTGTAGACTTTTAGGGAATTATACAACGTTTTCAGTTTCCGCAACTAGTCTATACAAGCTGGTTGTATTTATAGTTTTAGCACATGTGAAGATAGAAATGTAGAGGTTTACAAACGCAACGTTTTTGTCTTTATTTGTTTGTCGTAACTATGTTTTGTATTTGCCTTTGAAAAAGACTCATTGGGAGTCGAAAGCGCTTAGGCTAGTTAGTTACTAGTTTCGTACTGTTCGTCGTCAGTTTATTGCATCTATATATATATATATATATATATATATATATATATATATATATATATATATATATATATATATATATATATATATATATATATATATATGTATATATGTATGTATATATATATATATGTATATATGTATATATATGTATATATGTATGTATATATATATGTATATATATATATATATGTATATATGTATATATATATGTATATATATATATATATGTATATATATATATATGTATATATATATATATATATATATATATGTATATATATATATATATATATATATATATATATATATATTTATATATATGTATAT